AGTTGCTGTAGGTCGAGTTGCTGTTGCAGCGACGTGGACGTCGCGGCCGACGGATAGTAACAGTCGCCGTCGGCGCCGGCGCCGTCCATGGACGACGTGTTGGTGTGCACGGTGACCGTCGCGGAAATGGCGGCCGCCGGCACGCGACAGTCGGCGGACGACGCGTCGCTGAAGTATCCGTCGCCGGCGCCGTTTATGAGCAGCGACAAGTCGAAACCGTCAAACTCGTCGCCGTCGATGGTCTCCTGGTGTTGTTGCTGTTGAGAAGACGAAGACGATATCTGCTGGTGTTGGTGTCCGGGCGCCGGACCGCCGCCGTCGGCGTGTTGCTGTGCCGCCGTCGTCGTCGTCGTCGTGGACCACCACCAGAAGTCCGTCGGCATGTCTGTGACGGCCGCGGAGATTTGCTGGTGCTGTTGGTGTTGTATTTGTTGATGTTGTTGATGTTGTTGTTGTTGTTGTTGTTGTTGTTGTTGTATGTTAGCCATCATTGCGGTCGTCGAAGGGTTGCCGGCGGTATTCGTCGTGGTTGCTACCGCACCGGTATAACAATCTGCGCCGCCGCCGCTGTGAATCATAGCGGGGGCGCGATGTTCGTCGTGATTGTCAAACGCTGACAAAAACGTCACCGCGAAAACTATAGAGGAAAGAAAAAAAACCAATTTTAAAAGTTACTATAAGACGTCATCCGAACATAATAATAACAATGTGCATGCATATTATATTATATTATATAACATAATTATATTGCGCACGAGGAGGGCTTGCGAAAATTCGATTCATAACGTACGATAATAATATAATATAATATTATAATGTTAAGAGTCGTCGTCGTCGTCGTCGCAGTCGCTCGTTCGCATAAATACGTTTGTCGGTTGACGATGAGCACTGAAGGCGCGCCGCCGTCAAATTTCTTTTATTCGTTCATGTGTCGTCGTGCAGATATATATGGCTGCTGCGCGTGCGTGTGTTTGGGAAATGCTGCGGCGGCGGCGGTTTAGTGACATAGATTTCGCCGCCGCCGCCGTGAGCTGCTCTCTCTTTTCCGCAGAAGCGACGACAGCGCTATATACTTAAGACCTATAACCATTTCGGTGGCGGCGACCGCGATTGCCGAGGAGAGAGTGTGCAGACGTCGCCGCAACATATTTTTCGCGCGTGCGTGCGGAAGCTGTGTATACAGCGTGCCTATAACAATAACACGCACACACGAACGCATGACGCGTGTGCATATTATATTATATTTATATACTATACGAAGTGCACACAGCCCTCGCATGATTTGCAGGTGGACGACCGCCGGCACGTGGAATCGGTGATGTATAATATAGGGTTTAAACAGAGTTTATTATAAGGAAGTCGTGGCGGCGGCGGCGGCGGTGGTGGTGGCGGTTGTGATGGAAAAGAGAGAGAGCCACGTCTATATACCGAGTAGGAGATGACGTGTCCGTCGAAACTTATAATTTAGGTAATCGGCGGTGATTTAGGTAAAACCGCGCGCTCTTAACGCTCGTTCAATTCATTATTAACAAAATATATTATAATATGCTATGCAATACGTGACAGATAATGACCTCTCCTCGACATCGCAGGAGTGACAAGCGCGCGTTCAAGTCTCTCATGAACGTACATTATTATACCATTCGGTATTATACACGCTTAAACGTTATAATAATAATATTATGTATGGCTAAATTAAATATTAGAAGATTAAAATATATGTATATGGGGCTGTCAATGAAACGTTTTTCACAAATATTTGCGAAATCCTTGCGCATTATATACATGAGCATATTATATTATCAATATGACACGATTAATCACGAATTATAAATAAATTGTTTATACATACGTTAATAATCGTCGTGCGGTCCCAATATCGGTTTTTGTCGTCGTCGTTGGCGGAACGCCTCCACCGCAGCGCAAAAATGTCCGTAATCGTACAATGGACGGTACCGTCGCGTTAAACGTTAAGGTCCAATATTTCACTGATGTACAATCACACCAGCTAACACTGTTGCTGTGGCGGCCGTGGTTCTGACTTACAGTTTTTGAGACGATGCAGGAAATGAGGCTGAAGCACATGCGTAGAGTCAGTCGTTTCCGTGCGTACGTGTGAAACTGCTATTGCTCTACTGAGCATTGCGAGTTTGTGGTATGGCGACGGTGCCGATATCATAAGCACATATACATGTATACAGTCACTAGTAGACGATTGGTTTTCAGAGAGAGGTGGTGGTGATGGTTATGGCGAGGGGGAACATTCTTAACCGAAGGCGGTAGTGCTGGTTGAGAAAACTACTCTTCCCCCGACCCGCGCCGTACCTCCAAACCTAACTATTCTCCGCCACCGCCAACGACGTCGTCGCTTTCTATTCGCGCGGTTTTGCGACGGAAGGCAGCAGCAGCAGCAACAACAACTGCTATTATTGCAAATTTTCATTGGGTTTTTTTTACTTTGCAATATGTTCTTTATAATATAATATTACCGTCGTGCGGCCGACCGATCTTTATATTTCATGCGTGCCAAATTTATCGAACATCGTCGTAATGAAAGCTGATTTAGTAACACTGCAAATGCATATATAATATGTCTATTGGCTATAAAATATGTTCATTTCCTTCATTCAATTACTATTATATATAAATAAAATTTTCATAAATTTGCATTAATGACTGTACTGAAAAATTATTTTTTTTAATCTCACTTATTTACTATACATTTATTTGTTGAAAGTAATAAATAAAAAGGTGTACCCGTATAGGTGTAAGTATATTTTTAGTAGTTTATGATGAAATTAAATTTTTTTAAGCCAGATATTGAGATATTTTACACTACTCACGATAAAATATGTATTTGATATTATATTTTATTTACATTTATAATATAATATAAAGTTAGATTATAATATGACTATAAGAGCCATGTATCTAATTGATCACTTTAATTTATTTTGATACCTAAGTAGGTAGACTAGCTATTTTTATAACCAAACTATGCGAGAGTATAATGCTATATAGTTTTATAGATCATTTAGCTGTTTTCACCCATTAGATAATTTAGTTATTCAAAAGGTATAGTGTATTTTACGATGCTCCCAAGTACTATCCATAAAGTCATTAAGGAGCGTAGTAAACAAAATGTGTATGTTAAAAATAAAAAAGTACAATTCAATAACATAACCATTATAAGTATAAAAGCATCGACAACGTCAACTACACATGAAAAAGTTGCTACAAACTAATTATAATTATTTTGAGCTCAAAAAATACTGTGTACACATACAAATCTAAAATGACGCAATAAACCCGCATGTGTCGTCTTCGTCTTACCAGAGCTTAACATATCAAATTTGTGTTCAGCAGAACCGATTTTTCATTATTAAATTTTAATGTTTGAGTTAATTGACCCGATATTATTAAGTTTAAAGGTAATAGCGTTATTTGCGTTAGTATGTTGGATTTTTACTGTATATTTTTATGAATTAAAAAAGTCTAAGTGAAATGTTATTTTTTTTAAATACTCATCGCTCACTTGAAAATTAAATACCATAAAAAAACTCTATTATTATCCAATACTTTGTTGAAAATCAATCACACATAATCGGTAACACAATAATTATTATTATAGGTATATGTTTAACGATTGTTATTTGAACTAGGAAGACTACACATTGCAGGGTAAGTATAGCGTTCTCCAAAAGTCTTAAATATATTATTGTCGTCTTTTTTTACAAGTACCACCATCACTAATAATCAAAGGTGAGCAAATTAACGAAAATAATTCAGATTAAGTTAAGTGAACATATTAAGATCATTATAAGTTAGTAGTTAATAGTTTACAAATAATAAATTTAACTCTTCAAGTTGTAAGTTTACTACATTTTTAAATAGTACGTGGATCATATAAAGAGTATTTTTTGTTTATTTACATATAGTAGGTATTATTTATGAAAAATCAGAACAGAAACTAAAGTATTAGGTATTTATTTTTATTATCATAGCATTAAGTAATTTGATTGTTTTTATTTAAAATTGTCTACAGACATACAGTACGTAATATTAAAAAACCATTAAGACAAATAATTTTAAAAACATTTTTGATATTAACTTGATGGGTTAATTTTAAATTAACTGAAAAAACTAAGTTATTTTGACAGTTTACTAAACTAACTAAATCATTATGTTGACTAGAAAATTAATTATCTAGTTAAGTTAAAAAATTAAATAAAAATAAACTTTTCAACAGGGTAATATCTATATTTGCTAATAATTATTATTAATACTATTAATTTCATAATTCAAGTTTATTAACTGTTGTCTTCGGATCGATTAAAAGTCTTCGATTTGACATATCGGCGGAGGCGGCAGTGGAGGTAACCGGATTTCTCCTGATCCTCCCACCACATTATACCATTTCTACACTATATTCCGAGGTCATGGGTAAACGTAAGACGACTTGCGTTTAAAATATTGTCTAACACGCAAGCACTAGCAAATCGTATACGTATTTTTCGCATATAAATGACATTTTGGTGTCTTGTAAAAGATTATAATAAACAATTAAGATAACAGATAAAATTATGTTGAAAATCGATAAAATATAAATAGATATACAAATTAATACAAATCTGCCGAGCGTGACACAAATTCAATTTTTATTTAGGTGAAATTAACATTTTCGTCAGTATTTTGGAGGAATTTGATATTTTTACAAATGATAAAGTTTTCTTTAAATGTACCTTTAGTTTTAACATGAAACACCTAAATATTTTATACGCACAGTCGCCAATCAAATTATATTTTGTTAATTAAAAAAAAATTAGAAAATCTCATAAACATAAATTATGTAGACTAATCAATAAATTCTATTTCACCACACCACAAATGTTATAATTTATGAAATTCTATAGCAAATTTATGAATACATTTTGTGATTGCGCAATCATCATTGCATCAATTGAACTAAAATGGGTCAATTGGTGACTTGCCTGTAAATTTTTTTAAATATGTAAATATTAACTTTTAAGTCTTCATTGTTCATGACATTTGTTAGTCGTCGTTATAGAACAAAATAGTTATTATACTTCGTCAATTCTAATGCATAATATGATTATAATGGGCCTCTGCTGTATAGACTCATTGTACACTATGATTTAGAAATACAGTGGTTATTACGTGAGTCATAAATATTAAAATAATGTACACACTTGAAAAATGATGTGACATTTAACATTTAAGTTATAATTATAATATTATATCATTACCTCTACAGACTACAATAAACAATTCACGTGCTATACTACGTGATTAAGATAATTTTATCATGCCTTATTAAATAATAAATATATAGATACAAGAATGAAACTTTTGGCGCAGACGATTCGGCGCGATGCTATTTTGGTGATATATAAAAGATTTTAAGTAGATAAGTATCATTAAAGAAATACATTTATAAATGGATTAATCAAATAAAATATTATGTAATATTTTCGATAGTATTATAAAATTTAAAAAAAAAATCCAAAATTATTACATAAAAAATATAAAATACCTATAAGTTATATAAATATTAAAAATATTAAGTATCTAATATGTTATTATTATTTTTAAGTATTGTTATTTTTTTTTTTTTTAATTATCAATTCATTTTTTATGTTTGTTAGTGTTTTGAAATGTTTTCAATTTCTTCGCGGAGGATTGTTATTTTTTGAAATATACGGTGCTTGTAATAAGTATCATGTCTAGGTTGAATTTTGTTTAGATTTGAAATGAAAGTCAAAATTATTGTCGGATGAGTATATCCATTTGTAAGTTTTGATCGCTAGTGTACCGCCTTGGAATAATAACTGTCCGGTTTTTGCGTTTTAATACTCTTTGATAAAGATTTCACATACTAGACTAATAGTGTGGTTTTCTCCTACCAGCGCACCGATTTTTCTTTTTAATGTAAAATTCTTCATGCCAGTCAAATAATTGCATAAGCTCATATAGTAGTTTTCGGCCAACTTATCTACAGTGAGTGCAGTCGTATCCATATCACACAATATGAAATTTATTGTAGAGTTTAGTGAAAATACAAAAACGTATATTACTATTATACTTTAATAACAAAATGTAATTCTCTATTTATTTTTTATTTTTTTAGTTACACAAACTTATATTTACTACAATCAAAATACAAATGTTATAAAAACAGTAGTACTTTGTGGTAAAATTAAAGTATGGTTGTCTTTTATTAAAGAAATTTTAAGTAATACATAAATTGTGTGGAATTTTAGTTACTATTACGTCTATAATATTTATTTTTTTTATAAGATTATTACAGACAGTAGAAAAAAAAATTATTAAATCAACGAAAATTGGAGTTAAAATATAAATATCATAAAAGAGCTTTATGATAAGGCCAACAAGATGATTTGTTGATTTCAAAATTAAAATGTTGTTAATGTATAAATTATCACACATTTTTATTCTGCCAAGGTTCAAGTTAACTTGAAGAAGAATTCTAAAAACAGATTAGAATTTGTCGTCAATTACACTTAAAATAAATTTTCTTAGATTTTTGATTTAAACTACTTACTCAAATATTAAAGTATTCCACTTCTTTTAATTATTTTTTTTTTTTAAATTAATTATTTAGGATTTAGAAGGATAAAATCAAAAATAAAAGAAAAGTTATCTCATGTAGACTTGAAAATAAATTTATTCAAATCCATTTTTTGAATAATTATCGCTTTACTAGATCAATTGGTACGTTGTAATAAAAACGCCTCTAGATTACGTCTAAAAATAATATATTCACCTGTGTTAGATAAAGACAAAAATCACCGATTCCATCCCTCAACAATAAATATATATGTTTATTTAACAAACTTTAAAGCTGAATATTTTTACTAGGTATGAAAACTATTTTATTTTTTTTAATTTGACATAGGATAAATAATATATTTAAATTTAACAAAACTGTTGGTCATTTTAGAAACTCTAGAATTTATTTAAATTTTACTATAATACTGGACAAAGACTTTTAGGTAAATTTTAGTTTATCTTACAAAAGTTATGTTTGAATTAATGATATACTTAAATCAATTTAACAAATTAATCAGTTTAAAATAAAAACGCATAATGATCAGTTTTCCTTTTATTTCAAAAATGCATTTTATTAGTTATTATTATAATACTTTAAATATATAAAAAAATAATTATTAATTATTAATTATATACTATTATAATACCAAAAATATCTTTTTCTAGAAAATCATCAAAATCTTTGTATATATGGAATAATAAAACGATAAATTTATAATAATAACGTAAAAGTTATAAAAAGTTGCATAAAACCATTTATAAAATTTATTATTTATAATTTTATCTATACATGATAAAAATGAACTAATGTGCAATTTTCATTTGAAATTTAGTCATAATACAGACAAAAAAAATTACATATTAGTTTAAAAAAATAATAATAAAAATAAAATATTAATAGTGAAGTTTTGATTGTTAATAAAAAATTAAAAACAGTTAAAGTGATTTTAATCAGTTGAAATAACAACTTAAATTCAGAAATTATTTGATTAACTAAAAAGCAAGGCTCATCATATTTTTATTGAATATTAAATAACATTTTTGGATAAATAACCAAACATTTGAGGACTAAATGGGACATTTTAGTTGAAGTACACGAAATATTTTAGAATAAAATTAGAGCCCTGACAATAAAAACCATTTTATAGATTATTAATATTATTAATGTCATTTGTTTGTGTTCAAATATAGTGCTCAAATTTAAAATACAAAGTTAAGTATTATTTCCATTTTTCATTGTATTTTCAGAATTTAATTACACTTTAAGATCAATCACTATTGAAGTCTTTGAGTAATCAAAATATAGGTCATTTTGGAATTTATTAAAAAATATTTAGCTACAATTTTTTTTCCTTTTGTGTCAATGTATGATTTTTTAGATGTTGGAACAAATAAGGTACGTAAAAGGTAAAATAAGACAAAAGTAATAAATTATTATTTAAATGAAAATCATAAAAGTAAGGTATATTTGTACAATATATACAATATAATGTTTTAATGTTTATAAATAAATAAATTGTTATTATAAACTCTAGTTACTTTGCCAAAAAGGGGTATTAGGTGGTCGGCCCACGGCCCCTTAAGAAAAATCAATGGCCCTAAACTGGCTCTCTCAATTTTGTTTAAATTTCTTAAATATTATGACATTTAATTGTTCCAATTTATATAAATTATACTCTGTATTGAAAAAACTGTGTAATAATTTTTTTCAAAATTATTTATCAGAACATCTGTTATATAACAGTTCTTATTTAAATATATACGCAGGGAACAAACTTTGGACTTATGGAGACATTAAAACATATATTTTTTTCTAACGGATAAATCTCTAAATTTATAAAATAAATATATTTTGACGTGTATACCTTGCCATATGTGATAACCTGTTAATATACTCAAGACGTTTGTTTCGTAGTTAAAATAGCTCGTTTACGGATACTTCTATCAAAGCTGTGTTTACTACTTTTATTCTAGGTGCTTCAAAATCATGACAATTGGTTTTTAGTAGAAAATTTTAATACCTACTTTAAAATCATTTACGCCGATATGTATTCGAGTAGGATTAAATAAATCTTTACGACGACATCGCCAAGCCTTTTTTCCTTCATCCGCATTAAATTTATCACGAATATTCATAAAACTTTATACCATTATAAAGTTTTTATTAATCTGCATTTTTGATATTTATAATACTTGATAATACAATGACTAGCACGTCAGCACGATAGAAACACACGTGACGCCGTAGAGATGCAACTGTGCAAGTGAACCACATTATCGATGAAGAACCCGTTCGAACCATTTTATAATCAATAATCGCCGTATTTTGGAAAAAAATAAAATGGAAACATTCTTAGAATATATCATATTTATGTTCGATAAATACCACCGTCATCGCTTGTTAAAAATAATTATTAACGCATTCACGTAAAATATCATTGTTATATCGTTGAAAATATGGTCTAGCAACAAACCGTTCGGCAACAAATTGTCATTTTGCCAAAACAACTAGATCCGCATTAAACATTGAGCTAGAAGGTACCAGTTAAATTATTATTATTATTACTTTTTTTTCATTTAATTATTTATTTATTTTTTTTTTTTTTGTAGTCACTATAATATACCAATATGCATTATTCTTCATTATTATTTTTGATTGCAAGTCGTAAATTTAACATGTACGCCTATTTCTTATTATTTAATTATCAACATTTTAAAAATAAAATAAAATATTGCACAATAATATTGGTGTATTAATGTTTCAACATAATACTAGAATATATTTTTATTTTTATAACTCAAACGTCCTGTGTAAAGAATACATAGAACTCAAAGAACTATATAAGAAAGATATGACAATACTGTTATTGTATCAAGTCGAACTACTTCAATACCGGATCTCGTCGTAATATTTTCATGGTCACAACTGAGGTTTTAGATTTTTTCATACAGGAATAATATTTATTTAATCAGTTTATCATGATTTGATTACGTATAAAGCACTTTGACAAGTTCAACAACACAAACTATATTATTATATCGCACTATTCATCATAGTAATTAAATGCACTGGTTTCAAGTTTGAAAGTTTTTTTTTCGGTTGTGGTTAGAATTTAGAAAAATAAAAACTTAGGTTTTGATAAATTTTTAAAATACGTATCAGTTTTTAAAAATTGAGGTTAACCGAGAACGCTTAAATTTGTACTTATTTATTGTATTTTATTCATCAATTTAGTAAAATGTAATAATATCTATAAACTTATACTTACTTAGCTGCTTGAAAAAAAAAGAAATATTGGAAATTAAAGAAATTTTCACGAAGGTGTTTTCAAATCTAACAGTATGTGTTTATAATTCACATACATATTCTTTAGGTTAACAGTAAATAAATAAAACGTATAAATATCTGAATACCTAAAATATTATTAAATTATTTAATTAATATGAATATTATGCTTAAATACGCTCTTCGCTAACTTCAAGGAAATACATACTATCTAAAAAATGTATAAATAAATAACTATAGTATGTTGAAAAAAATTTAATATGTATTTCGAACAAAAAAAAAAAACATGTATAAAGTATATTAAAAATCATACCAATGGTAAAATCATTTGACATTTTCATCATTTCTTAAAAAAATATTTTGTATTGATTTCAACTATTTTATAAGTAACAACTGATGAAATCCAAAATATATTTTTAAAAAATGTCTTATAAAATTAGTAACATATGAAAGTGAAAATGTGAAATAGTAGTATAATATAATAATTTAGAAACAATAATGACAATAATAAATATGTCCCTACTATAATATTTAAAATTATGTGGTACATTTTGTTTTCAACGTGCTGGTACAGAACAACACGTTGAGTTGATCAAATAAAAGAAGAAAATAACACATTTTCAATAAAAATAAAAATAAAAATAAATAGGTCTAAGACAGATAGCATCAGTCAATAACAACACCTACCTACAACAATTATATTAAGACAATAGACCATTAGGAAAAAAATAATGATACTATAATTATGTCCAAAGTATATTAAGAACATACGAAGACTTTAAGAGTGAAACCAATTATAATGGTAACATTCATATAGCCAACATAATAATATATCAAGTGGCGAGAAAGTGACTTTACAACACCTCTCCACGTGTTATTTAAAGTATGGGTCGGTGTTTGGTGGTGTTTATGCATATCGATTAATGTATTTCTTTTGTCAACAAAAACGCTGATTCCGGCCCTGGGCCTATAGTAGTCGTTATCATTACGATGGTAGAATTCACGGAGTGGACTTCACCACTGACTTTGTAAGATTGAAATATATCAACCAAAGATGCATATGCCCCAGAAACCATGGCAAATAAAGCGAGTAAAATGATGGCCACATCTTTGGCAGCCGTCAATCTGTTCATAGCCTTCTTTCTGGTACCCAGTGGATCACTGCTCATCCTCTTTTGCTGTTGTCCTTGTGTTACACTACCACATTCTATACTCATGTCATCAAACATCGCATAGTTATCGACACCGTCAAATCTTAAATCGTTTTCTGAATCTGAATCCTCGTTATGTTCACTATTATCGTTGTTATGATTCCAAAATACTATCAAATGAATTGCAGCTGGACACAATAGTCCCAAGATGGAGAAGAACACTGCCCCGAATAAAGAGATGATGGGAGCAAGGTTAGGTACGATAGCAGCAATACCAACTGTAATAAATATATTAAATCAATGTGAGTATACACTAGAACGACATTATATCAATATAATATGGTACTGTACAAGTTCCCAGGATCATTAAGGCCCGCATGACATAATATTCCCAATCCATGTACTTTTCTGGTTCATCCAGTTCTTCTTCAGTCTGTTTCTTCTCGTTGTTTGTTGTATGGTTCACTGTTGAAGTAACCGTGGTCATGGTTACTATGGTACCGACTATGGTGCTTACAGTGGAAGTCTCTTTGTCTATGGTAGGAGTTGAATATTTGGCATCTGATTTACGTTTATGAAGCCAAGGCCCTAAGCGAGCCCAAACGATCTCACTGGGGACACAAAATTGCAAGCCGTACGAGAAGAGTATCGACAGCGTGACCATCATCTTAACTGCCTCAGCAAATCTATAATTTGGAGCAATAAAAAAAAATTACAGTTTATTAATATAACTGTCACTAATCTGATTATTTTCAGTTTTATCATTGATTATTAATTATAATACTAAAAATACATACAAATCGTTAGGAAGATTGAGCGTAATCGAACCTTCTGTGTCATTGCCGAAACGCAAGTATCCGAGGAAGCCAGCTATCGAATATAAAAATACGACTAGAGTCATGGCAGCATTCAACACTCCGCACGGGCGGGCCCGGAGAAAATGCTCTGGATGACGCATTGAATTCTCAATCGGTAGAACCTGTCCATAAAAAAGTGTTATTATTGAAGTCATTATATAGTAATTAAAATTGTCTGACATATAATACATACAGTGCCGATACCCTCCATGGCAAAGACAACGGTAGCAAAGAACAGTGGCATGTGCGCAATTGTGCCAACCCATGGGCGAGACGCCATATCTGGTAGCGGCACGGCTGCAAGCACAGCTTCCTTACTAGAAAATGGACTGACACCGACAACCACCCACACCATGGAGCAACCCAAGCCGACTAGTATGAATGTTGTCGCTACGGCCGAAAAGGGGACCAACACTCGGAGTGTACGAATGATGCCGAGAGGAAGAATCGGTAAGGCGAGACCCAAGATCCAAGTACGGATGGAGAAATGCCACTCTTCAGGCGTATGGTTGTCTGCAACCTGAAAAAGTCAAAGTGAAAATAGGATGAAAGCTGTTTCAAGTTTATGTACAGTTGTTATATACCTGTTTGAATGACGCCGAGATGAGTATGACGTAAACGCAGTTACCGAAATAATACGTGCAAAACAATGCAGCGTTAACAAACCCTCTTTATTTAGACATTTTTGCAGATAGTTAAATGAACAGTGACATGAAAATATTTGCAGTCACAGGACATAAAAAAAATAAATAAAAGAATATTGCATTATTATTTATTGTGTATTTTTTGAAAATATAAATTATATATTGGCACAAGAAATGTGTTAAAAAACGACTTTGATTCAAACTAGACAAGTAGTAAAATTTTTTTCTTTAAAAATAGTTGTTAGGTTTTGTTTATTTTTTGTTATAATTTTATAATTTTTTCTATATCAAAAATTACAATTTTATACAGTTGGTATTTAAGAGAGGTAGCTTTACCATCATATGTTTAAGGTAAAACAATCTAAATATTATAGTTTATGCGAATATATTAATTTTGTTGAAATTTAAAAATAATATGAAAATGATAAATAATATTTGTTAATAATGTCTAAGATTTGACTCAATAAAATATAAAATTTATATCCAATTACTATAATTAAAACGTTCAATATTTTTATTATATTATTGATCGAATTTCGAAAAATGTATTTGGGTTGTTGTTTCATAAAAAAATAATACTAGATACAAATTATACCTATTATAGCTGAGTTATAGATACATGTTAACTTTTTAGTAAATTCAAATCTATTACCAGGATTTTTTCTAATATTTATTATACAATCACTACCAAATCAGATCGGATAAAAAGAACTGTCATTTATTGTACATGATATTTGGTTATATATTAAACAGCAATTTCATATGCTGAATGTACGCATTTGTGAGTATTTGATAATTTTATGTGTACCTAATGTATATTTACATTATTTATCTCAAACAAATACGATGTATATCAAAACAAATACGCCTGCATGTAACTTTTTAATAAATCATTCTTTCATTCCCTTTTATATTATAGCCTTATGCCCAATTCAATAAACTTTATTACAGTTTAAAATATCCACGATAAAGGCCATAAAAGTCAAACAAAATATACAATTGATAACGAATGACAACTGTCAAGTTAAAATGAAATGTATTTACTCATAATACATATACAGCATAAGCATAACAATAGTAGAAACGAACTCAATAGCTTTTATCCTATAAAATATGTCAGTGAGTAGATATTTCTTTTTAAAAATCCTTAGTTGGTGTATTAAAAGCCTGTTATTTTAGCTACAAAAATACTCTAACGATTGGTCAAAGGTCTGAAATTTATCTTTGATATACATGGTGTGGCAGTCATTTGATGATCTCAGGTAATAGGTATACACAAACAATATTTATTTTAAATTTAAGATCAGCATTCAAAAGATATTTTTTAGAATAACTAGCACAGCAAGTCAGATTTATGATTTTTTATCCACTATAGTTAAATAACGCTGTTAATTAAATGTTATGATAACAATCAATACTATATTCAATCGTCATACTTTGCGAATGAAGCCCAGGCGCGAATTCGGCGCGGACCGGTCTTAAATGCCAAATACGCAGTGTCGGCGAACCCGAGGGCCGGGCGACGTGTACGACGAGCTAGTGTTTGTGAGCACAGCACCTGGAAAAAGAGTAATACGTTTAATCAGAATTAAGAAATAACTTAACTTACGATAAAAATTACTGTATCAAATTAATTTTCCAGTAATTTAATTATATTTTATTGTAGGTAATTTATACGTAAAAAAAGTTACTAAAGTAAATTACTAAATTACTTGTTAATTTTTTTTTTTTTTTTTAATGCATTTGAAGTATCATTTAATACGTAAGTTATTAGTATATAAAATGTAAATATATTATAGAAATACGATTTTTTGGCAAAAATTCAAAAATTAAGCACAAGTTTTAAATAAGTAATTTGGAAAATACATTGTTATTAAAAATAAATAATAATGTGTTTGAAAATTATTATTTTTATTGGTACTCAAATAACATTTTATGTAATTTAATATTGTTGATTGTTATTACTTCGTTAATATATTAATAATAATCAAGTAATTATTAAGTTCCAATAATATTTAAAAGAAAAGTGACTTCAAATAATAGTAGTATAATAGTGTTCCATTGTATTTCGTGTTTAATAGCAGCAACAAGATTAAAACGTAGTTAACTTAACCATGTTAAAAAACTACAATTTTATTAAAATTTCGATCGAAATAGTAAAAGAATAACCGAAAAATCATAAAAGGATATTACGATGACAGCCGGTAAGTCATGTAAATTATAGACCACAGCAGTATGTTAAGGCGCATATATTAGAAATCAAACGGCGCGAGTGCTGCATTCATTTGAAAGTGCGTAACAAATTACAATACTGCGTGTATAATATGAAAAAAAAAATTCGGCCTTCGAACTGTACGCCGCTTTGATTATCGTGTTGTGTATAATATTTTTCACTGAAATACTCCAGAATATATTCATAATTGAGTAGGTTGTTGTAATGAACGTGTTCAATTTGAATTGAATTCATATGATTTATCAATTAAAGTATTCGAAAAACAAGGATATTCGAATATTTATATTGTTATTTATAATTTATTCATACATTAGAATATCGGTTGGGTCAAACCAATTTTAATAAAACTAAATTTTATAAATTATATAATAATGATTATACTATTATTTAATACAATGTTAGCAATTATTAATTTATTTAAGCTTTTAATAGTTAAAATTAAACTTTTGAACCAAAAATAATTTTTATTATTATCTAATATATTTTTTTTCTATTAGAAAGTATTGGATTTTTTTACTATTGACCTCCCATATAGGTATACAATTAGATCCGATTTTCAACCTTAAACTTTTCATAATTTAAGATTCAAAAGGTAATTATAAATACTATACATTTTACTATAACACTAATACATTTGTTACTCTGCTCAGAATAAAAACATATTAATGAATATGATTTCTCATAGTTTAAAATATACAACGATTGGTACAGTAAGATGAAAAACACTACATAGTTAATTATGTATTAATAACTATTATAACGATTATACAATATTAAATAATGATACATTTTTGTTTGTCGACCGATAAAACGCAGGTGACATAGGTACTTATTAAGTCACGAATTCAAAGAGTGTCTATACTGTACACGTAGTGATAGTTTTCTGTCAATTTCAGTATTTCATTTAAAAAAGTCAAGTTGAAGTACGTACTTAAATATTGTAATAACAACAGATTTTTTTTAGTACATTTATCATTAATTATGTATTTCTGAATGAGTTTTTACTTCTTTACGTTTTCATATTTGAATTCGGGCGTGTATTTATTTTTATCTTTTATATTCTAAAACAGATTATATTTTTAAAATTTTTTTATGTTATTTTCTCTGAACATAATATATATGTATAATACAATTTTTTTAAATAAAAATTCCATACATGCGTGGTCATACATTGATAGACAAATTACTTTGTATAATAACATAGTATTAGTGTACTGTAAATAATATGTTTGGTAAATGTGGACGGACGACTGCGCTTAGGGTGAAATCGATAGAAATGATCGTACACACACAGCGGGGTGCACTGTACATGTAATATAATATTATACTCACCAAAAGGTAGATGCAGTGCGCGCACAGTGCTCCGATAGCAGCCGTTCCGAACAGACCAAAAATGAGCCCGCCATTTTTGAACGCGTTCGGCATGGCAAGGACGCCGGAACCGAGACTACTCTTTATCAGATGTAGTAAGGCACCGGTCGCGCTGAAAAACCATTTTTGATTTTAAACGCGGCATCGGGATGATACAAATAATAATAACAATATGGTTTATACTCACGTGGTTGTGTTGGAGCTGTCACGCATTTGGAATGGGTCGTATGGCAGCTGCTTTTTTTCACCCTTGTCATGACGCCACCCTTGAGTTCCGACGTTGCCGTCGCCATCGTTGCCGTTGTTGTTGGCTACGCCACGGCTCTTCGAACTTAAGATGTGTTTCATACTGCGAAAGCTGCCACAAAACATGCGTTCATTAATTATGGGCATCACTCATTAGGCATATCATGAGACGTTCATAATTTGTTGTCATTATAATAACATTATATATTCGATAATGCGCGCAAATCGTAATGTCAGTATGATAGTACTATTTTATGGTTTAAATAGATGACGAAAAGAGTCTACCGACAGATTATTGCGCCAAAGATGACATGGCAAAAATATAAACAATTACATTGAATAGAATATTATACTATATATGACTAATATTTAATATTTCTATATTATATGTTTAATGTACATTACCCGAACAGCTAAAGTCAAATTTTTTCATTGGGTATTGTACTTAAAATTAATTTCAAATATTCGAATCGTTTTCTGTTATTCGATAATCAAGAATTTAATATTTTTGTTTGAATTTTAATAAAAATAATTCAATCTTAAATACTATATAAACATTTTACTCGTACATATAAGATCCAACATATACATGGCGATAATAATCAAATATGTTATGAAAACAAAATCTTATAATAAACTAATACAGTAGAGTCTTGATAGTCTGGACGAATTCAGACCGAGCATCGTTAGGATTATCGAAGAGTTTTTAAAATTACCTACGCAAATGACTAAGATTTTTATTTTTAATTCCATCACCTTTATACTTGTTGCATTTTAAATTAAAAATAATAAACAATTTAAATAGATTTACAAATTAATTAACAGTATTATAAAAAAAAAAAAAAAAATGTGTGTAATAATACCGGACTTATGCCGTCCAGATTACCGCGTTCACCGGACTATCAAGGTTTTACTGTATGTATATTTATTTAATATATTTATTCAAAATCGTTGTTCATAATATACTAATAAAATATTGGTAATCTGATTAAAAAAATAAAATTAATAATTGTTTAAGTACCTATTGGGATACACTGATATACATTGTTTAACAATCGCTCCATAAAGATAAAAATATATAATAATTAATGACACATAAGTCTCGTATAATTGATTGATATTATAAAAAAAATCTTTATAATTATAATTAGTAATGTACAATTAAAATCTAATTGAACACTTAACAAAAAAAAAAATCAATTCAAACTTGTAAATAATTATGAGGTCTCAATTAAAATATAAAAAAAACAATTTATAAATATTATAAATGTATATATTATAGAAGGGCACTGAAATAAAAAGTTCCCTATAATAAAGTGTTGGTTAAAACAAATTTTATATTTGTGGTTTTGCCTCTTGCTATACTCTTTATATGTATACAAATATGCAATACTATACCGAATATGTGGCACTTCGATACATATATTTTATAGGTACTTAAATGCCATGTTTTTTTTTTTATGTGAGATGTCTCTCGATAGTTTCTCAATTTACAAGTGTATACGATCGGTTATCACTTATCAGTAATAAAATTAAATAAAAATAATCTCGAGGCCTAAAGATGTATTTTTGTAATGATTAAAATTAAAACAATCATTGTGTTTTAATATTTGGTAAGACTATAGCATCATGTCCACGTTTTATAAATTTAAAATTAATTATAAAATTAATATACTCTAATTAATTAATTAATTTTTTTTTTTTTTTTGTAATAAATTTTAAAAATCAGTTGTACAAAATAGATAATTTTAAAATTGATAAACTCGTATAATGTTAGTTTTATTTATAATTAGTTTTAGTATAGTAGTTTAATCTTTTGAAAATTATATTATAAATTGAGAATTTTCCTGATACATCATCGTCGTGTAAGACAAGAATATTTTATTTAATATTTGGACGTTTTTCCATATATTATTGTATTAAAAAGTTATATTAAATATATATATATATATATATATTATACAGTTTAAAATGTTTTATAGTAATATTTGTAATCTAAGAAAGTTGTGCAACCTATTTTTTTAAATAATTTTATATACACCAGTGTAAAATGTATATATGTATGTTAATATCACTAAAATAAATAAAAACTATAAACTTGACTATACAATTTATAAGTCTTAAGTATATGATTGTACATAATAATACATAATATTATGTTCATATTTTTACTATGGGTATATTTAACATATTATGTTTTATAGTCATATTTAACATACCTATATATTATTATAATATATTTTTAAGGGATTAACTATGGTTACTTTTATTGGACACTAAAGTACAATAATATGTTATACTCAAATTTAAAATTAATATATTAGACTTTTTATAAACAATAGTCGTTTGTTTTATATAATAAGTCAAAATAGTATTTTCAACTAATATTTTAAATTTCTTTGATTGATGTTTTTTTTAAATATTTCATATAAATGTGTCTTTATTAAACTTATGAAACGGCCAATAAATCATGATTGTAAGTTAACATTTCGTATAACATGAGTAATATAAAGTTTTTTTTTTTTTTTGCTAAAGAAATATTTGTTTCATTGTTTGGTTTCGATCAAATAAGTAAAAATATATACTCGATTACGTTTGAAAGTTAAGTATATGTTAAAAATGTTTATATTGAGTGCTCATCAAACAATACATTTTATTCTTTTGTCTTTTTTAACGGGAAATGTATGAACAAAGTGTACAATATCATTAAAATAGAAAGACTTTTACCAGTAGATGCATACTATAAATTAAATTGTGCCTTCGTCAGAACTTGCACATCGTTATAGACGTAAACTACATTGGACACAAATAATGACGACAAATACGAACAAAAAAATTAAATAATATAATAACTGTTTACAACTCATTGAATCACTTGAATTTCAAGTGTAGGTATCCACCGTTATATATAAAAAAATATATCTACTTATTCACCGTGCTTTCGCGTAGTCGTTATCTTACACGAGACACAAACACCTGTGTAAGGCACCTGAAGCCTAATCGTTCCACATATGCATTTCTTATTTCCTCACCGTTGTTAACGAGAGTAAAAGCTTTAAACAAAAAAATATTTACATCCTCTCGAGACTTGAGGGAGCGGTGGCGGCCACTCTAAATGACGGTTGCGTCACGCACCACAAAGCCTTGTATATCTTACTTGTTATGTCTATAGGTGCGACATGTTTCGACACTTTTATTACATGTTTGCAAAAAATATTACAGACGTGTTCACGTGAAAACGGTACTTAAATAAAGTAAATCGGTTGAATTAAGAAAAAATAAAAATAAAAACGGCTCATACCTTTAGCAGCTGGGGCTGCAAGTAGTGGTGATGGTGATTTTGGAGTGTGCTACTGCTAACGGTGTTGCAGCAGAAACGCTGCGATTTTCTTTTGTTGGCCGCAATTGTCACGGTCGCTGGTGCTGCTTTTCTCGTCCAGTTGTCCCGGTTTCCGGTATATGTATTTATAACCTGACCGCTGTACAGATATAGCGGTCGTCCGTCGGATGTGAGTGGTTGTCGACGACTGAACAGATTTTAGACTTAAATATGTTTACGAGTAAAATATATAACGACGACGACAATTTATTGATATCGATATATTTTAATTAATTTCGATGTTGATTACGTATACTGCGGCTAGTCATTATTAATTATAACAGTGACTTCTATTCTCTTTAAGTTAGCAATGGTAAAACCAACTATTCGGTCGATAAATGAAGCTTTGTCGAGTTGCTGCTGCTGCTGTTGCTGCTGCTTTGTGACTGTTCGCGACCACTGGATGAAACTATAATAATATGTCGATGAATGAACGAATTTGACAACAGAATGTTATAATAATATTGTAAAGAAATGATATAATTATAATGAGTGTGTAGATTGCACTAATTTGTCTTAATGATAGAATCAATCGAAGACAGCTATATACGTTCCAAAGTGGTGATGACGGCGGCGCCTCGTTATGACAATAGCGATAACGCGCGCGATAATAATTACTCTGACCATGGATGTCGAGAGAGCAACACGTTTAACCGAATGCGATTTGAAAGCGCAGAAAACCGAACACTAATATCAATAACATATTATCTAGTATGCAAATGTCAATAATATATTCTATAATATATTATTAAACGGTATCACCTATAAACGACGACGATTTTATTTTTAGCATGTGTAGGTATACTAGATGCCTGTGTCCTATATAGTTAAATAATTATTGTACTTCGGGATCACCTATTGATTTTTGTAGAAATCGATTTCGGTTATCGCATTATTAAAATATATAATAATATAATAGACATTCACTATCCTTATATCCAATTATTTTAAATACCTACGAGTTCGTAATTGTTATGATACAATTTATTATTTGCGTGATAATTAAAAATGTTCTTTTCGAATGATTTTATCAAAACAATATAATATTATAATATTATTTTTGTCATTTAAAATGGTTGAATCGATACTAAAATGTATTATAAAATCAATATTTATAGAAATTGGATGACTTCTTAGTAATTAAATCGACTAAATTAAGTATTCATTAATATTTTCATTTTACCATATGCAATAAATTAAGTATAGATAGTCTGTTTGAAAAAAAATAAACTAAGTATATTCAAAATGTAATATTTAAAATTTACTCAGCGTGTTGTTGTTTTTAAATAAAATCAGTCATCTTTGTTTACATTTGTTTAAATATATAATAAAATAACAGCCGTATTATAATACAATAATGAAAACGCTGAAGCGAATACGTTAATCAGCTTGTTATAACTAACAAGATATTCCTTTGTTTTTACCATTAATAAATAAATTACGATATCTATATTTCAAAATCAATGCTACATTTCAGTGGTTCCTATTCTAAATAACATTACAATATTCAAATAAATTAAAACTGTAAATTATAGTTGATAAATATAAAATAATTATTATTTAAATAGTTTAGATTAGACATTTAAATAAAATATAATGTTTAAATATACAATAATATGTTAATAAAATAATAAGTCATAATATTTAAATTTTTATTTTAATTAATATTAATAACATTTTAGGACAGTCTTGTGGTGTTAATTCTGAAAAGACTAAGTTCCAATTTTTTTATGAAAATTATTATTTGTCGTTATCTAAATCTTATAAATTATGAATAATTAATGGAATTACTGAGTAATAATTTAAAATAGTATATTTTATGAATTAATTTAATAAAGATAGGTAATCTATTACCACGATATTAATTTTGTACTTGGTCTTAAGATATTATGAATATCTTTAATTAGTGTTTGCTTTAGACATTATAGTATAATAATATCTACCAACTTTTAGAACAAATATAATAAATATTCAATTTAAGTTTTATTGATGTTGATGATAAAAATTATTAGTTTCATAGTATATGGTTATTTGAATTATTCTGAATTAATTGTACCTATAATTTTATAATTTTATTTTAAGATTATTTTAGTGTACCTAATATAAATACATTTATGAAATTAATTTAATTAAAAATTTTTTTTTTTCGGTGAACCACATTTTTGAAAAAAATATAATTCTTTGTTTTAGATCAATATATTTAGGTATAAATGTATAACACTTTTGAGAAAAAATTGTTAGAATGCGAACTACGATAACATTTCTTGAAAACTATTTTATACTTTACATTATTCAGTTTCACACTATTGTAGGTAATTTAAATTGTATAATTAGTATATAACATATTATACAATAGAATAGATATTCTTAAAGTTCTTCAATTCTTGTGGTGTTTCCAAACATAAAATGTATTTACAAGTGTACTTTCTAGAAAAAATACGAAAATAATTTCGATTGAAGTTTTATTATTTTAAATAAAAAATCTGTTTATTCAAATTAGTTTTTAGATTTTGAGCAGATTAATGTGTTATATTATCTGCCGTTAGACTTTAAATCAGTTAAAATGATTTAATATTTAATTTTAAGAGTGGTGTCTGGTAGAAAATGAAATTCAGTTACTTTCAGGTCAAAAAAAAGAAGAAAAGAAAAAAATTAATATAATAAATAAAATAAATAAATAATTTGTATAATTTATAAACGAGACTGTCCTAAGTGATTGATGATTCATAATCAACGCAGAATCGAACCTATTAGAGCTATCAATTTGAAATTTTAAAAGTAGATTAATATTATAATTTCACCATACATTAAGAAAGAATTTTTCAAAATTTTGATTTTAAGGGATTGAAATCAGTAAATAATAAAATCTTACGTGTAAATTGTATACCTATATGCATCGATGAGTAAGCGCTTATAAGTCGTGAGCCTTAAGCTCACATTTTTAGGCTTTTTTCACATGGACAATTTTATGTGGCATATTCCGAGTCAGCATGCCCAGAAGTTCAATAATTTTAGCATCAAATGGAAATACATCAAATTTATTTTATAGAGGAATTTTATAACACAATTTTGTCATAGATTAATATTTTTTATTATATATTTATTAAAATTTTACTGGCAAAACCGTGACAGGTAACTCGCTTACAATAAAATAAATAAATTAATACTGTAATATTATTTTGTATTTACTCGTCACTGATTTTTGATGAAATCGATTTTGTTATATTGTTGTGATTCGATTACGAAAAACCATAAATAAGTACTTGAATTTTTCACCGATTAATAAATATTTTTATTAATGCTCTCTGCAGACTTAGAAATACTAACGTGTTGATATAATATGTGTTATCATAGTTGTTAATAACACTATTATAGTATGATTCTATTTTTATTAAATGTTAATTAGTATGATTGCGTGAATGTGGTATACAGTGAAATTTTGAGATTACTTATTTGCTTTTTTTTAATATTTGAATCTTTATCAATATCACTTTGTGTGATATATTTTCAATAGTTTAAAATACTGTAACTCTATACAAAATAATAAATAACTAAGCATTTGCATTTGAAGTAAATCAGAAAAATTTAAAGTTGTTAGAATTTGTATCGAAAAAGTTAAAATAAATATCCGTTCTGTATTCTTAGATATTGAATTATAACTTTTTACTTAATTTTCTAAGTGTTTAAACTAAGCTAAATTATTAAGTACTTTTTAACGTCATATATATTTAAGTGCTTTAAATTATCCGTTTTGAACACTTTTATCTTTCGGTATCTACGTTTATCGCTTCATTGAGACATTTTACTTTTGAGTAAGTTTTATTATTTTTTGATTATATTGAAAAATATTTATATTTTTTTAAATGTTCTATAATAGCTGTTGTTATTAACTTTTGAAAATGATTTTAAACATTTTTCTACTCCTGGTTATATATTTTAAAGAATAAATATTATTATGTAACAGTAGCTACAAATTACAATATACACACTAATAAAGTAAATTATAATTTTTAAATAATATAGCTACACAATATCTGTTGTTAAAAATTAATTAGTATTTCGATAATGTATGATGAAAACAAAACTTTTGTATTATTATTTTTGTTATGCATACATACCAGTATAATGGGCATGATGAATAAAGTTAAGTACCGAGAAGCGGTTAAACATGATATTATGTTTTCGATACTAAAATAGTTTTAACTATGACCTGCATTATTGAAACATAAATACAATTACTTATTTATAAAAAATAATTATTTTATATGGCAATGCGCCGTTGTTATCTCAAAAATTATAAATGCGCTTTGGTTTATTATAATAAATTGTTTTCAGCTATTTAAATGTAGAGATATGTATATAACACTACATAATACTATAATTTACGGGTATATACGTAGATTAAATTGTTAATGCAGTACCTTATTTTTATCTATGTCATTTAAACCAGCTGCCTAAAATGTAAATACACAAAATGAGTAAGAATTTTTCAAGACTAACTGCAGTTTATTTACAAATTGAATCGGAAATTAATGTGGTTAAATTTCCGCAACTGTCGTCGAAATAACATATAAATAACATTTAAAACAAATGTCTGAACATTTAAGTCAATAAACGTATTTAATATACCTTCGTTTTGTTTGATTTAGAAGAACAAATTAAATTCCAAAAGTAATTAAATTATAATGTTTTAAAAATAGTTTATACTTATGTATTACATGAAATTGTTCACGGCGAATAGATAGGTAATACGTATATCTACTATGTATTGTACACATAAAACGTTATTAATTCAATAGTTTTTATTTTTCACAACAAGTTGTTGAATGGTGACTTTTGTTTGGATAAAAATTATATTTTATTACAATATACCTATTACATTTTCTTATTTAAATATAATTTTAGTAATTTAATTTATATAATAAATAATAGGTAAATGCAATTACCAAAATATAAGAAGTATAATATGTTTATATCTACCCAATCTTTTGAAATGTTTAGTATATAATTGAGATTTTTAAGAAATATATCTCTGTATTTGTCGAATATCAGATATGCAAATAGAATTTTTAAAAATGTGTTTAGTTGAAAGTGAATAATTTTTTGAGCAAAATGGGAAAATTGTTTAAGTGAGATTGAAAACTATTTATTACTTTCGTAGAAATTATCATTTATTGATTAATTTTGGTTATTTTGTATTGATATAAAATAATACTATTTCTAGTCCTTATACTCAACAGTGATTTTAAATGTTTACCAATTAAATAATATTTAAATACTATATTAATTCATAAAATAATTTTGAAAAATTTTTTTTGCTTGATTAGAATTTTGAATAATCTAAATTGTTTCTTTAGTTTTGTTATTAAATATAACATACAATATTTAGTTAAAACTTGTAAGATCATAAAATGCAACAAAATTTAAATAATATTCAAAAACTAATAATAAATTGTATGGCAAGAAAACATAGAAGAAATATGCAATTTTATAAATTTTTTCATTTGAAAAAATAAAATAAATGTGTGTATTCAAACAAAATTATCGACTCATATCACTTACTTGTTTTAGAATGAATGATGACATCTCGTGCTAGTAAAAAGTGAGGTAAGCACTTGATCATATTTTGAACGTCCATTGGGCATTGACATTTTTTTTATATAATGTATACAACTGTACCATAAAAATGTTCAAGTTCACTGTCAATCAAAATATTAGAGCACTGTTGGGTCTCAATCCAAAATTTTATCAATTTTTTTTTTTTACAAATATATTTGACGAAATAGACATAAATGCGATTTAATGAGACTGAAGTTCAATAAAATATTGCTTTTAATGATAATAAAAAATCAAACTTTTTTTTTTACTTCAAATTTTAATAAGAATAAGCTATCTCTTTTTATTATATATTTTATAATAAATTCACACTAATCGTGTGTGTTATTTGACTTTCTTTGATTAGGTGACTTTTTTTTTCTCAATTAAAATAACAGTGTACTTATCCATAGTTTTTTATTTTTATATATTTTTCAAGTATTAACTTTTATTTAAATTTAAATACCATGAAAAATTATATAATATTTTGTTTTTATCTAAAAATATTATGCGAATACTGCTGCAGGAACATCTATGTTACATACTTACATATCATATTTATATATCAATATATACTGTTTTAATTATAACATTAAATTGATGACTCTTATAATGTAAGTATTTATTTTTTAAGTACTAAACTGTTGATGATAGGAAGGATATTATGATGGTTATATAGGATAGTATTACAATTAACACAAATAACACAATACAATTATTTATATGAATATTATATAATAAATTAAATCTAAAATAATGAAAAAAAAAAAATAACGGTAAAATATCCATAAAACTAAATATAAAATTATGTGCGATACAAAAAAAATTTAAATGTAATTGTCTACTTGAAATTATAATAAAAAATAGCGTTAAAAAACTGTAAATGAAACCATTTGATAACTTTAGAGATGTGTACTTTTCACAATATTGGAGTATCTACTATCAACGTTTTATATTCAGTGAAAATATTATCGCGGTGGACAATGTCGTATGGGTTATTCGTAAAAAACAAGTGCAGCGGTTATAGTTCTATAATATGTGCAGTCATTTATATTATAACTAATTGTTTACCTATCTAAGAAAAAAACATTATGTAGTGATTCTACTTATTGGTTTTGAGATACTTAAGCTTGCTTATATAATTTTTGAGAATATAATATTCTCTTTCCGTTCAAGCTGTTCTCAAACCATTAACTTAATACTATATTTTAAATTTCTAATTCTAAAGTAATACATATAGTCGTAATTTTGAAAGCGTTACACTTTAGTTTGAGAAAATTCTGATACAATGGGTACGCTATGGTCTGGAGATTGAGTTATAATTTCTCGTATATTATAGAAGGCTCCGCCGGTCAGTGCGAACAAAGCCAATATAAAATATATAAAATTTTTCGCATGTCGTAAGAATCTGCGGATAGCTATGTTCCGGATGGCTTTATCAGTCTTTGCGACCTTCTGCGTCAGCACCGCTGCCGATGCCAATCCGATTCCGTTCTCCACACCTACATTATCGCAGCTATTCATCTCTTGGTGGCTGTCTTCATAGTCATCTTCGCTTTCCGGATTCCAATACCAAACGGTCTCGAGTGCTGCAGGCACTATGAGACCAAGTACTGAAAAACCGACCGAACCGACGAGAGAAATCATCGGCCCGACGTCAGGTACCGCAGTCGCTATAATCACTGCAATCACACGTAAAATGATAAAATATTCATTAATAATTTACTCTTTATCTTTTCAAAAATGAATGGAAACTTGTACCAGTATATTGTCGACAAATTTTAAGCTCGAAAAAAATGTATGATAATACAATACTCCGAGTCGACAAGTGTCAAGTTCATATATTCATACAATAAGATTAAATTATAGGCAAGTATCTACACTAGATACTCGTCGAAACACTTACCCGTTCCGATGATCAAGATAAATCGCATGATATTGTAATCTAAACTCGTTTTTGTTTTTTCTATAACCACAACTTTCGATCCGTATTTACGTACGGCATTTTTCACTTTCTTTTTTTTAATCCATTGCCACACTAGGTCCGCGGTAACGGTCAGCTGGAGTCCGTAAGTCATTAATATTCCCAAAGTGACTACGATTTTTACGGATTCAGATAATCTGTGCATATAAAAAATCGAAATAGTTACAATATAATAAATAATAATATACGTATGATCCTATCGGCAGAGTAACGAGACACGCCGCTGTGATATACGTATAGGCAATACATTTGTAAAATATGCCAACCTGTTATTCGGAGGCAAATTAAGTGGCAAGCTTCCTAGGCACCGTTCACCGTACCGTATGTAACCAAAAAAGCCCAAAGCGCCGTTGAGTAGTACGATGATAACCATAGACCAGTGCAGTGTGTAGGATGGTGGTCCGGCAAGCTCTAGTGGATACTTCATCGAGTTTTCAATGTGCATAAGCTTTATACGTAATAGGTACGGATTTAAAAATGACGCAGGACGGACGAACGATTGACATATTCAACAAAACAAAATTTCATTTAAAATATAACATGATATTATTATCCTTAAATGATTTTAATTATCCGATAAAAAAAAAAAAATATTTTGTATTTACAAATATTAAATTTTCCTACACATACATCAAGTAATGTTATGATACATATGAACATATGATATATATTTTAAAATTTATTATTGTCACTAAAATCAAAATTTAATTGTAGCTGTTTAAAATAATTAACTACTTAAATTACTAGTAGGTAAACACTACAATAGTTAATTTCACTAAGGATTAAGATCGGTAAACGTTTAATTATCTTTTTATTGCTAAGAAAATTGTATGTGAAGTATAAAAACATTCTATAGTTATTATTTTTAGTAAAATCTACTAGTTAAATGTTATCAAGGATCTGTAAGAATTTATGTATAAGTATAACTTTAAAATGTTTATTTATAATTACCCTTTTCAAATTTCATAAATGTATATTATATTAAAAAATATAAAATTAATATTACCTATACTAATTTAAGTTTAAGTTTTCAACTAACAATAATCGCGCCTCGGATAGACCACATAGGTTACGTGCCGCGCAAAGCTAATGCTACTAATCTAAAAAACTAAATAAACGATTAGACGCACTATTAAAATAATAAGACTTAATTATGCCATAAAATTATCTAAGTAAGGACATTAAAGTTAAAAAAAATAAATAGGTGATTGTAAATACTATCAACTATATTTGCCTATTTTGTACTTATATGTAAATTCAACCAATATATTTGTTTTACCTGCAACAGAATGTTAATTCTATTTGTATCAACTTAGACGTGTAAAATAAGTATTAACTCTATCAATATTATTTTTTGACCAATTTAATCTTTTTTTTTTTTTTATGAGTTATAACTAAATTTATTATATTTATTACATATTTTTATTTTTTATTTGAGGCTATAACTATTTACATAACGCGTTCAAAGTCATAGAATTTTTATTGTTAACAATTTTGATATTTGGTTACTACCGTTTAGATTATGATATAAACATTGTTAAGTTGACGTTTTTTATGCCAATAAAAATGTTTTAACTTTGCTATATTATTTAGTTGAATTATTCGGATTTAATTAATTAACTAATAAGTAGTTCAGGGGTGTTCAACCTTCTGTGAAGATTGGGCCACATCTTATGGTAGAAGTTGTTGTGGGCCACTTACTTTTTAATAACAATACATACAGTATTTTATTTTTTATTTGTTGATAAATGCCGTGAACAAATCCCCAATAATAAAATATTTCATTAAAATCGGTTCTAGTTGATCCACTGATCACCTGTATAATGTGTGGCCGTGCTATTATGCTAAGATAAAACACTATTAAAGTTTATTCGATATTTAATATTTTGTAATTTTATAATTTTAAAACAAGTGTATTCTTGTAATATTAATGTATTATATAAAATTAATTAATGGTTTTTAAATTTGAGTGAGGGCTGCATTAATATTACTATGACCGTATGTGGCCCGCAAGCTGCGGGTTGGATACCCCTGCAGTAGATATTTATATGTATTACGTAAATTGTGCATACAAATTTGGATTTAATTATTTTAATAATATTTATTCAGTTATATATTTATTAATACTATTTTTAAATAATATAACTTTATTTAAAAATATGTTTTTTTTTTTAATAATATCTGTGTACTTAGTGAATAATTTTTATTTTTTAAAATAATGTGACATTGAAATTTATATGTTATAAATCTGACCCTAAAAGCGACTACCTCTAAATCAATGGAGTATACATTTTACATACACCCACAAAACAACAAAAATTCCAAATAAATTTAATATTCTCCTTTTAAGCGTTAACACGATAATGCTGAGTAAAACATAGGTAATTCCTCCTAAGTTAAGGATAAAGCTCACCAAATGCTTATATTATGTGTTAACTATATTTTTTCTGATTATTTTCTAATAATATAGTCATTAAAATAACAACTTTATAAGTACCAGAAAAAAAAAACCACGTGTCTTAAGTTTTGTGTCTTCATTATTTCGAGAATGTTTTGATAGCTAATTTTCTAAACACGATATGATATTTACAAAATGCATAATATTACCAACGACATTTGGATACTTTCATTGGCATACAAATCTTAAAAATCTTAATGTAACAGTATAATAACGCATATTATTTTGTCATCATTTATATTGGTTTTGTTTTTTGGACTCAAGCGATAAAAATAAAAAAATATGTAAAAATATAGTGCTCACCATTCCGACCCCTTCCATCGAACATAATGCGCTGCCTGCAAACAGAGACCAGCGCGTCATTGGCCATACTACTAATTTTGATAGTTCATTCTCTTGAAGAGGGTTGCGTCCATCGTCATCAGTGAAGATGAAGTAGAACATCGCTATAGTGCCCGCCGAAATCAGCCCATTAGCAATTACTGAGAATGGCACTAGGTATTTTATTATTTGAACCATGCCCATTGGAATGATTAGCAGAGCTACAGCTAAGGGGTACCAATGAATGGACAAACCGTTTAACATGTAGCTCCACGTGCCCACGGCTCCACCGGCGGTGTAAAGATCAACGAGCTACAACGAAAAATTGGTTGGGTGAATAAAATACGATTATTAATGTAATTTTATAGAGTCGTTTACAGCTATATGCATCGTTATAAGATGTTTACACGTAATAAATACATTTTTTTCGATAGTTTTAAAAATATTTTAATTTAGATTTAATTAAAAATTGTTCTTAAGTTTTTTACTTAATCATCATATTTTCAAAATAATACTGTTTTCCACTAATGTGCCATAATTAAATATTAAAATTGATCTTAGTGACTTAGTTTTAAACAATAAATTATAATATGTTATAATAATATTATAAGCTTAAAAAACCAATATTATGTCCCGTACATTGTGTTGGTAATATAAATGTATGAAGATAAACATACTTAGTTATCGTGCGTGCATTAAATATATAAACGTGTTAGTGTTGTTACTACAAAAATTATGTTATTATTAACTGTCCGGTAATTATCCAGATATGTTTGCACCGTACCTGCTTGCTTGTACTCGCCACGACGCACACGTAAATGATGTTGACACCGTAATATGTTAAAATCAAAGAGATTGTGGTGAACTTTCTGTTCGCAGCATTTGGAGTTACAGCAGTGATGTAAGAAAACAAACAAACAAAATATTTTACGATTAGTAATAAATCGGTGTGTGGGTGTGAATCATCTCAGAAAACTATAATTTCAATACTGAGAGAGTGTTTGAGTGGAAACTCTGATGTAGACGGCTCTGAACCCTAAAAGTCAAAGGAGTCTCGGTATATTTTATTCTCTGAGGGATCTGAACCTGTATATACACAGTACCTACTTTATACGATATATGACCTTTGTACGATCAAACGTAAACCTATTCAATGAAACTGATATCGTTCGATACGTATTTGATATTATATTAAAATTCGTCATATCAGATTATAATATATGATGTGTATGTTTATAATTTGAAATTGATATAATCTAATAATATACCATTCACCAAAATCGGAAAAAAGTTCTCTGTAGTTGTATATTGTAATAAAATGTAAATATTTTTTCAAGTTATTTCGTGAATAGGGGTGATGTTTTTCAAAGGGTATATGATATACCATGTGTATATTTTATATACATACTTGGCTAATGGGCCCCATGATGCGAAGTAGCCATTTGAGCCGTACTTAAACACTGCTTCAACTGTATCCGGATAGTCCATAGGAGGCAATAATAACATCTTTCCGTTATTTTGTTTGTTCGACTGATTATTGCTCGTAGATTCTTCTTCGACATCTTCGACATCTTCATTATTTTCATTTCTTTCTGCCAAAATGGCAGCCGCGTATTTACCGGATCTTAATGTTTGTGAGCAACGAACCTACAAACATGATCAATTAAGTATTCACAATAAAGTGGAAAAAAATCATTTAACAATATAAAAGGAGAAGTGCTTAGACCTACTACACTTAAGCCAAAATTGGAAAATTTATAGTAAATTGTATTTACTTCAAAAAGAAAAAGTTTAAAATCTAATAAAATTTAAAAGAATAGCTAATTGTATAAACAAAAATGTACTTATTCGACACTACGACAATCTTTTACTAATATAACATGATTTAATTAAAATGCTCAATATAGTTTTTAACTCATTTTTTTTATATGGTAGAAACGAAAGACTGAAAAAGTAAAACTATAAACGGGGATTGGAAATATAAGAGTTATACATTTGCTTATACGAAACAGTTTTCATATTCCTTACGTATCCTGGTTATATAATAGTTAATTAATTTACACGTTTTTTTTTTTTTTTTTAAGTAAACTTTTGGTAAGTAGTAAGAATATTTGAAATAAAAGACGTAGGTATGGGACATAGTCATTATTATTTAACTATTTGTTGGTAGAATGACCAACGTCTAAACAATAATAATAATAATAATTATGAATGATTATAATCATCCGTGTTTTTTCTTATGGGATAAAATATAGATTATCTTATTATAATATTTTGAACGTGGAAACCGCAAACGTATGTGATAAAAACAAAGGTCGTGTTACTATAATATTGTTATTTATGCCAAACGAGCGTAAATAACTAAATACGTATACTAAATATATTATAGTTAATCTAATCTTACTATAGTAAACTACGTTACTTAATGACAGTTTGCAAGTTGCTTGGTTCAAACACACAAATGTCGTATAATAAATTAGGAACCTTTTAAGATAATAATATGTTTATATACTTACAATAAATGACATCATATTCAACACCGCAATTCCGAGGATCACTATGCCTATAGAGCCTACCAACAATCCTGCATTATGAAATGCTTCGGGCATGGCTAAGAATCCACCACCAATGGTCGACTTAATCATATGCATCATCGCTTCCAAATTCCTATAGGTAATGAGTGAACAGGTGTAGATGCGACAAGTGACAAGACATTGAAAAAAAATTAAAATACAACGATAAAGAGATGCAATTAAAATATAGTGATATATATATATATATCTATTTAAATACAAAAATAATATATACTATAGTTTCTTACGATATATTATGTTTTTCTGTGTTTGGAATTTCGGCGGCTACTTCAACTTGGATGGCGGCACCATTGTCCGTGCTGGTGCCAGTAGATTTGGTTTTTACTTTCTTCATAATCGCATTTCACGTGTACATGTGCCGCAAAATTTACAATTCAACTGATAGTGTTGATTAAATCGAAAGTGATTATTATGTTAACTCCTGAAAAATATTTATTGATTGTAGTTATCTTTAGTATAATATGATGTTATATGTAGGTATATAATTAATTTTATCGAAAAATAAAAAAGAGTTTTATTTAAAGTTTTCTTAATTTTTTATTTCATATACTTATTTATAAAATAATTGACCCAATTAACTTAAATCAAACTACAATTACTAAGAAATATTTTCATTTTAGTATAGCATATAATGTAGCAATGGACATTGTCAAAATAAAACATATTCAAACTGAACCAGACACATAACTGTTAATGAATGAAAAAACAATAAAAATATATTATGAACAATGGCCATGATAGTATGTTATTTAACTAAGCAATAATTAAACCTAATATATACATTTAGAAATAAGAAGATATAGTAAATAGTAACTAAAAACAATGAATATCTCTTCTTCAACAATTTAAATATTTGAACTTTTATTCTAATAATTACAAATCATTGTACGAAAATAATTTAGCCAATAACAGATACTCACAATTATCGAATCAAGAAAAAACTTATCGAATAAGAATTTGTTTACTCGATGGTGATAGTGAAATACCATTCATATCGTGAAATTTATTTAATAGATTTATAAAATTGGATATTTACATTCCTATAATTCCACAAGTCACAAGAAATAAATGTTCTTATTTAGAATTGAGTAAGAATTTTGAGCGTTATAATAAAATAAATTTTTATATTTGTATATCTATTAAAAACCAATAAATTTAATTAATATATTGTTTAGTTATTTTAATATGTTTAAGAGTGCATTAGAATTTCAGGCTGAACGTTAAGTTGTTGGTGTATTGAATTGTATCAAGCAGTTTCCAAACAAAAACGAATCAATTATAAAAAAAAAAAAAAATTAAATAAAACAATTTGTTAAAATTACACTATTACAGGTATTTATAAATATATCATTAAGCCAACAATGTTTCTTTTTTATTGTAAATAAATTAAACTGGTCATAATGGAATAATACCTATTTTATTATTAAAAAACAGTAAAATCTACTAACACGTAATTGTGTTTTAAACCTTGAACCTGTAAAGAAATAGAATGATCGCAATGAAAAATTTCCAAAGTCATTATTATTAAAAAAAAATAGAAATATGCTTAATCATCACACACAATTTTTGTAAATAGGAAAATAATTATAATATTAAATTGTTGAGGTAGGTACATAAAAATAGTAGAAGTGTAAAAATCACATAATAATATATGATATAATAGAGATGGGCAACTTAAAGTTACTAGAGGGCCACTTTTTTTTTTTTTGTTTCTAATTATCATTCATTTTTAGTATTTTTTAATTTTTAATTTTTTTAATTTTTTTTTTTTTGAGGGTTGATAAATTATCTAATGGTTATAATAACCAATTTCTAATCAATATTGATTTTGAGTTATCAACAACAATATTATCGAAAATTATATCATAATTAAATATATTACCTAATTATATGTTTATTATTTTTAGACCTACTATTTTTTTTTTTTATTCACACGTTAACAAATGAAAGATAAATATAATATATATACATTTCGTTTCAAATATGATTTAAATTAATGAAATCATATTCAAAAGAAAATGATTACACAAATGATTACTGATAAGTCTAGTAACATATTAGTTATTATACATTAAAATTTGTTCGAGTAAATCTTAAAACAGTAAGGACACAATTATATATATAATTATATGAATAATAATAATAGTATTAAATATTAATCAATATATTATAATAATATTATATTAATATTTTACTTAGAATACATTTATCATACAATTAAATAATTTTTTTTTAACTTGAATTAGGTATATAGATAATAATAGGATATATCCGCATTGCTTCCGGGAAAAAATTTATTGTTACATCCAAGATGTAACTATGTAAATGTATATTCGTTTATTATAGCTGTACTCGTATAAGTAATATTAAACTAAAAATAAATATCAATATCAATTTACTATAGTTATTACATAAAACAAGCATTAGAAAATTGATGTAAACAAAATTATGTTGAATAGTAAATATACTCAGAAAACGATATAATAACTACATTTATAAACAATAGTATATAGTAATAAATTTGATATGTCTTATAAAAAAGAAATTTATTATTATTTTATTTTTTGTTTAAGTTATAGAAGTCAAATATATTTTGTGTTAAATAAACCTTGTATTATGTTAGAGAACGTGTATGTACCTACAGTATAATGAAACAATTATAACCATTTTTTTTTTCTAAATTAAAATTTCATTTTCTCTTAATATAAAAATAAGAAAGAAATATTTTCGTTTAAGTTAAAATTAAATGCATATTAATTTTTTTTTAAATTCCCATTTAATTTAATTTGATTTTTATGAAATAAAATTACATTTACTACCTCTATTTATTGTAAGTATATAGATTTTATTCTATAAATGAACTAAAAATTTAAAAATAACATTTAGTTTATAAGGAAAATTTGAGAAATAACATTAAACGAATCAGTAAAAAGTTATAAAATAATTATTGGTATTCATTATTGTTATATTACACCTGTAAGAAAAAATAAAATAAAATAGCTATAATATATACTATACATATAATTTTAGATTGAGAATGAAAATATATAAATATAATTGAAAAAATTCTAACATGACTTCAAAATATCTTAAAATAAAATATCGTATATTTATCTATCACACGTTCAGACGGATAAAAATATCGTGTTAGGGAAGGACATCAATTATTTATAAGCATCAATAGATCAGATACGTAGACGATGCACCGACATTTTATCGGTCACCTACCCTATTCCACTACAATTACCTTTGGTACTCAAAATTTTTCAAAGTAATTCGTTATTGGTTAAAAATTCGATATAAATGCAACGAAATATTCGAAAAAACATTCTGCCCTGAAATAGGTATTAGGTACATAAAATATACAAGTTGCCATCAAAAATAAATAAATAAATAAATAAATAAATAAAAACTTGAAAAAAAACCAATTATAAAAAACAGCAATGATATATAGATAACGACGATCGACAATAATTACTCTCTAGAGAAAAAAAAAAATCGAAATTCGGTGGACTTGACGCAAATCGTTCAATAACAATCACTATACCTATAATCTATTTACGGACAATGAAAAATTAAACGATACATGATAAATATTTTAAATAATATAGTAAAATATATACAGTTGTACATACTTTTTTAAATTATACAATATAAACATACATACATAATTTTTGCATATTATTCATTTTTTTTTTTTTTCCAATAGTTTGTTAGAAACAATCGGTTAATCGACAAGTTTTACCTTGGTTCCAAAGTATTTCTAATAAACGGTTTCTACTGTATAATGATTTCACGGTTTCGGCCGTAGGTGGTCAGCAAGCAGGTACCTTTTTACGACCGGAAAACAAACTACTCGATTCCGAGTACCTGCCTACTTTATAAAGGCTCAATTCGAGCGGCCGAAATCGGGGTTGGGGTGACATTGAAACGCATATTATTATTATTATTACTATTATTATTATTACTATTATTATTATTATTATTATTATTATTATTATTATTATCGATCCGTGCATTATATTATTATTACTATTATCCACAGATTTCTATACTAACTAAATAAGGAACTCATACATTATTTATATTATTAATAGTGAAGTTCGAGTATCAGTTTCCGCCATTTTGTCGGTTGGCAAAACATTAAATTTCCAATACAAAATGTATTAGAAATAACATCGTTTTTAACGGTAAAATAATATAGAAATAAATGAAAAATTATTTATATAAAATATTTTTTATTTATTTTTTTTTTTTTTATTAAACGACAGGTTTAAAACATTAATAAAAAACACAATACAACATAATTATTACTAATGTTTACCATATAAAACACCATATAATGCCAACCGAAAAACTCGGCTTCGAACGATAGCGGGAGTCCGCTGTCTAGTTTATATATAGAAATCTGTGCATTAATCATGCTCACCTTTCGGCCGGAACAACCGGGTGGCGGACGTGGGTACGCGACGGACGACGGCGCTGCGTGGCCGCGGGAACAGGTTGTCTCGTCTCGTCTCGCGGTTAGCCGATTGTGATGATGACGACGATCGCCGCCCTTGGACGCTCTCCGCCGAGTTGCTGGTGCTGCTGTCGTTTACAGCGGTGCGCTACCGTGACGCCGGGACGACGGGTGGACGGCAACTGGTGTGCCGGGATCCGTTACAGGACTATAAGACGGTCAAAACGAGAGCGACGACGTTACCGCGTTCTGCCAACAACGTATCGCTCCACGCTCTCGGTGCACACTGCAAAGGACGGACCGGCTGACGCGGTTATATAAGCGAGAACAGTCGGCGTGCATCTCCGTCGGGTTTGGCTAATCTCTTGAACATTGTCGTGGTGTGCGCGCGTGCATGTGCGTTTGTCCGCCAGGGTTGCGGTGGGGACGCGTCCTGCGCGCACGGCGGGTCGGTGCCGCGGCGGCGGCGTGGGGGTTTATATTTTTTTGGTCGAGTGACGTCTCTACCCCCGACGAGATCGGAATGGCGGACGGACACCATGGCGTGGGGTGGGGGGAGGGCGAAGAGGACAGCCGAAACGTTTCGAACATCCGACACGAGAACATACAATAACATTTAAACAGGCGCCCGCTATACGTAGGTACCCACTACTATACTATGTACACGACAATACATAATCGTATATATATATATATAATAAACATAATAGATATGCCTACTCGCATTATTCTCGTTTTTATTGTGTACTCGGTGGTTCGCGCAGTGTTTACCTGGGTATAAATAATTCAATATTATGTTCTCCAACATTTTTTTCCGTTGCCGACGGATTTGTGTGTTGGAAAAATGATGATTTTTAAATATTTATTCAAAGACCTTTTTCCGATTTCTTGGGAGTTTTTACTTTTTTTTTTTTATCTTTTGGTTCCACGTCGTTAAAAAAATGTTGTACATCAAGTGACGGCTCCTATTTTTTCGTTTACGCACGTCTATTTGTTTTACACACTTTTCAATTCAAACGTCGAATCGAAAGTTAATCCGCCGCAGCAGCACTCACGAACGGCTTTATAAAAAACAATTATTTACACGTTATATCGGATTTTGTATTTGTCAGTGACGTATTTTGGTTGATTTTTTGAGAATGTCCAAAATTTTAGAAACTCACAAACCTGTTTTTAGAATTATTTATTAAAAACGACATTGGGCTTAGTTTTATATTAGCAATTCATTTTACATATTTAGAAACTTTGGTATGATATGGCGATAAATAAGTTCAAGGTTATTATTCAACACTGAATACTAATATTTATTAAAAAATAAACTTCTTACATGATTATATCTGTAAGCTCAGTTTGAAACTTAAGAACATTTATAGTAAATGATCTAAGCAATTCTAATTATCTGAATAAATATTAGCTATATTTAGTAGACCTGGTATGATTGTTCAGACGGTCGACGGAAAATAAGTGATAAAATAATATTAATATTAATAATGGATTCTCCAAGCTGATAAACTATTAACTAGTTTTAAAAAAATATATTACATAATATTTCATTAGATAATGATATTTTCGTTTTTTGACTTAAAGTATTTTTCTTTTTGTCTTTTAATGACATTGTGAAATTCAAATTATTCTTGGATATTCTCGATTAATTGTATATTAAGTTTTAAAACATACTTTAAAACACATCATCAGATCTAATGAAATTAATTTCCTAATAACAGTGTGGAATTAACTGTTTTTATAGACATGGCTTATTATGCTTATACATTATAAACACATTTTTTTAAGTCTTTAGATTTTCAGATATGATGGACGCCCTTCCAAATTACGCCATTTTAAAATATGTCTTTAACCATTTTTATAATGTTGATAAATAAATATTGAATTTAATGAAATTCACAAGTTACTAGAGCTCTCATACATTTTAAATGCATGATCGCGGATTCCAATAATCAACATTTTCAGAAAAGTTACCCACAAACTCATTTTACAGTGGAATAGAGTTGTTGTCGATGGAAAACGGTAGTTCATATCTTCACAGTACGCTCATTAAATAATATAAAAATTGTCATGAATTTGAAAATGTAATTCAAAATATGTATATTTAAAAATGCCAAAAATCAAATTTCGAATAAACAGCTCTGCTTCATTGAGAAAGAAAAAAAGAAGGTGAGCGTGCTTGGTGAATCGCTCTGTATATATATTATAAAAAAACATATACATATATTCAATTTATTTTTATAGGTATAATATTATATTTTACATAAAACGCGTCAGTAGGTAATGCATTCCACATTCTTGAACCGCATACGAACCGGCCTAAAAACGTAGTACGCAGTTAACAATTGTGTGTATGTGAGAGTGAGAGTAGGAGGAAGTAGGATGTGATCGCATTATAGTCACAGTAACACAGGTAATGCGAGTGATACTGCAGCTGCCACTGTCGCGTATTCTACGAAATATATTATTATATACCTAAAAGTATGCAGGTAGCGGTGTTTTATTATATTATATAACAGATTTATGAACCGTGGCAACGTATAATATTATTGATACTGTAAATATTGCAGTGTACAAGAAACGCATCTGTTAACAATACATTACTTTTATTATTGTATATTTGTGTCCAGTATAGATAATGGTATTATAACGAGGGCGAAAACGTATTTTCGTATTGGAATGGAATCGTCGTCATCGTCGAAGAATATAGTTTCGATAATATTGTAACATTTCCAATAAACAAGAATATTTATAATTTTATAAACATATATAACAGGCCTGATGTGATATCACATCCTACACCTAACAATATGTCAATCGGTTATTTAGTTATAGGTACGTGCGCGAAAATAATTACAGTTTCGATCGCCGTCACCTAAAGTGTCTTGCTAGACGACGAGAAAATTATGAAAATTTAAAATACATTCTTTACTAACATCAGTTTTGGGCTTTTGGTATATTATTATCACCGCCAAACTTGTCGAATAACGTTGTCATTGAATTTTTTAGTGATGACTAATAAGTTGATTCGTTTTTCTAAGACATTCTCACGCCTTAATAGCACGTGTATGTTTTTTTCATTAAGTTGCATTTTAGTGTTCTTAATGGGGTATACATACCACTTAGTGATTAAAGAATTCCAAGTATAAATCGATTAAAAAAAAAAATAATAATAATGTTATTTTCTCATTGATGTTTATACTTTGTATTATAAATTTTGCATTTAAAAAGTAAAAATTTAGTGATGGCCTACAATAATCGAAACACTAAAACCTGATTTTAGTGTGCGGACGAGGCACGTGTACCTACAGACAAAACAACTAATAATATTATAGTGCAACGCCCTCCATCTCATTAAAAAAATAATAGTAAATTAAAACATTTATAGGCGTAACACGTAAATTAAAATACTAAAGTATTATTTTGTTTCAACAAACTAACAAGTTAATCATAAAATACATATCAGTTATTATACTAATAACTTTATTATTTTAGCAGTTTATTTTGTATCTTTAAGCCAATAATAATAATCGAAGTTTTATCAATAATGCTTGTATATTCTGTAATAATTAACCAACTCTTCTATTTGTTAAAAAGTCCAAACTATGGTATTTTGTATTTCTATTTATACAGGAGATTTTATGAGGTTAGATAACTCGTTAAAAGTTTGATATTCAAACATGTTGTACGAGAACAATAGATGAAGCGAGATTATTATTGTTTTTTTTTTTTTTTACCGTGATTTAATATAATCCAAAAGCTGTTAATTGGTAATTTAAAATAGAAATGTTTGAGTAATTTTATGGCAAATATGCATAAAATTGAAACTCTAAATATTTTTTTATTTTGTATCAACTTATTACATTAAAAATCATTAAAAACAATTGCGGTACAACCAGCTAAAAAATAAAATAATCACTTAAATAACATTATTCAAATAGTTACGTTTGTCTTTCATCGTCATCTACAAATTTTATCAAAATACATATTTCACATTTATATTTTAATCTATAAAAGAAAATGTTTAAATATGAAACAAAAAAAGCATTATAAATCAGTATCACGTGTTAACAAGTTTTTTAAATATTTATTCATCCAAAATGTATTGAATTTTCAATTTTTATTTTAAAATAGTCAGCAAACTAAAAAGAAAATAATTATAAAATACTATACAATCTAATATTAATATATTACGTATTTTATTTAATCAATAGTAACAGTTATACTGCGCAGTAAATTAAATCGAATTTAATTTATATGCATATTAGTGGTTATACACTAAAACCACTGTATTTTTTTTTTAAATAGTGATCAACAGTATTAAATTAGAAAAATTATCTTGACCAAATTAATACCTTTAATACGTTCACGACCAAGGGGTAAATTTGGGTGTCCTTTAAATAAACCATATTATATAATGGCTCTCAATTAAACATAAACTCATTGTATCTCATAGCAATATATTTTATAATATTATTTATCAAGTGTTTTCGGCTATTAAGGTCATGTCACACATATATGTGACATAATTATTTATCTATAGAAAAATCAGTAATCATCATCGTAAAATATTATTAAATTTTTTTTTGTGAATAAGTTTTTAGACAAAAAAATATAAACGAAATTCATCTCCGATAAATTAACGCAAATAAAATATGATTCGAATATAACCATTTGTCAAGAAATCATCAGCGGGTACATCTCAAAATAAAGTGAAAATTATATTCATAAAAAACATCAAAATTAACAAATGTTAAACCTAATACAAAAAACTCTACTTCAATGTATAAATAAAATTTAAAAAAATTAAACAAATTACTTTTTTAAATCAACTATATAAATAAATTTCTCAGATAACGTATAATTAAACCAAGACAAAATAATATTTGTTAGAATTAACCGAAATAAATAAATCCCGCTTAAACATCATATTGACCGTGTCAAACATATGTGACACCGATCTCTCAGAACAGACACCCGTGTCACATATATGTGACACGTGGCCATGAAAATGACAAAAATGATAAAAAATTTTTTTTTTCTTTTCAAAAATGACAAAATTTTTCTTATGCATGAAATAAATTTAATATATTAGTTTTAACTTAAAGGAAGTTTAAATATATTATCAAAAAAAAAAAAAAAAAAGAATTGAAAATTTCATCAGCGATGGCTTTTATTACGATTCACGGACCACATCGTCTAAAAACTTTTTTATTTACAATAATTTTTATATGTTCTTATAAAAATATAAATCTATAAATTAT